CAGCCTTCATTATGTCTCGAAGCAGAAAGCTCTATTTAAAAACTCAGAGGGTGGTAGAGAGCAGGCAGTGATCTGGCCGTGCAGTGAGAAGTTTTCTGTTGTGTTTTTGGACATAGTGAATGAAAGAAGGGCTTGAGCTGTAAAGAAAGAAGGAACGTATTCCGGGGAACCAGAGCCCCATAAAGACAGAAAGACAAGTCTGACGTCATCTCACCCATGTGAGATGCATCTCTCACACACACACACCAGGTGAAATGACCACTGACCAGGAATTGTCTTATTCTTAAAGTATACATCTGGGGGGAGAATCAGGTCCAATGAAGAAAAGAAGGTATGTGTGAGAAGAACTGGCTGCCCCGGATGATGCTTACTGGACCAAATGAGAAAGTACAGTACCACGAATGATGATGATAATAGCTGATATAAAAATAGTATGGCTAGTTAGCGCCTCAGAAAAGTGAACAGCAAAAATAATTACAAAAAATAGACTATTATTTTAAAATTAAAGAACAAAACCCCTCTCTCACCATTGAATCAATTTCAACTCAAGACAACACCATGGATTGATAATAGGGCAGAACTCCCCCATAGCATGTAGCAGGCTTTCTGCCCTGATTCCCTTGGATGGCTTTGAACTGCCAACCTTTAGGTGGCGGGTAGTCAAACAAAAAACAATTTGTACCACCTGGAAGTATTTTCTTAGCGTCATTATTTATATATAATTTTTTTGCTTGGAATCAATATCAAGCAAACTTTTATCAAGTGTTACCAGAGGAATAGTCTTCAATAGAAATTCGAATATTACATAGGGATGGAAAAACATTTTTAAAAGGACTTCTGAGGAAAGGCACTGGAAAAAGATGAACTCTGATTATTATGAACAAATTATATTCAGATATTCTGGACCCCTCATCAAATCGCCAGAAAAATGTAGTCTAAAGAAAATATGTAACCCAGGAAGAATTAGAGTGCGAAGGTGAACTTTCAGAAGTCTACGCATCGGCATGTGTCCTCTAGGGTCCCTCTTGTGTCTCTCTTTGCAAACAGCATTACTGAAATCAGCTTTTTGCAGAATAGTTTGAATTTAGAATTGTTTTCTCAAAATTAGTTCGAGCCAATGATGAACTTAATGAATAGTGAAATAGTTAATTTTGATTCAGATTTCCAAAATCAACAGAAATTTGGCCAGCTAACAGCGAATCTTAGGCTAAAACACCCTCATTGTTCCTTAGATTACCATGTAGGCATTTCGTATCACCAGCTCAACTGTATATACTTTCCAATTTTAATTAACGCAGAGAATTTTAGAAAATCTTAACTATCATACTTAATTTTTTTCCCTACATTGGAAAGTGGAGATCTAGTTAATTTATGAGGAAACGCTGGTGGCCACATTGTTAAGTTGTAAGAGGCTAACTTAAAGGTCTTCATTTTGAACTCACCAGCTCTCCTGGGAGAAAGATGTGCAGCCTACTTCTGTAAAAAGGGAGCAGCCTTAGACACTGTAGGACAATTCTACTCTGTCCTGTAGAGTCATCGGGAGTTAGAATTGGTACAATGGCAACAGATTTTGTTTTATTTTAATTCATTTATTCCGAATGTCTTGTACTATTTTATTGTCTTATACTGTAATTAATCATCTTAACCATTAGTCATTCTGACAGGCTCATGAACTAGTTTTATATTAAAATATTTTACATGGTCCTTTGTGCACATCTGTGAGAGTTTCTGCAGAGAAAGTCACAGTAAAACATGAGCCCTACATTTATGTTACTAATTTAGTGGTGTGTTTTTTAGAACAACCTTGCAAACAAATGCTTCCGTGTGTGTGTGTGTGTGTGTGTGTGTGTGTGTGTGTGTGTGTGACAGAGAGAGAAAGAGAGAGAGCATCAGATATAATTTTTCCAGACCTATATACTTTTTTTAAAACTTTAAAATCAATTACTAATTGATTATCTAAACTTGGATACATAACTAACTTCTCTTGCAAGAAAAAAAAGGCCTCATCTGATACTTTAAGTATCGAAATCATACTTTTGTAGATAGGATTGAATGAATGAGGTATGTAAAGTGGTTTGAATAATGCCAAGCCCTAACCACGGGTTAGCGGTCCTCTAGTCATTATCAAATGACTTTCCATTCACAGTGCTAGTCTCTCGCATGTCACACTGCTCTTGTTAGGTGCCACCAGGTCCCCTCAGATTAATGGAATGACAGACTGTCCAGTCCTCACAGTCCTGGTTATGGGTGAGCCCACTCTGGCTCCACTGGGTCAACCCGTCTCACTTAAGGTCGTCCTCTTTGTCAATGACCTTCTACTGTACCGAGCAGGATGCCCTTCCTGAGAGAATGGTGGAGTCAAAGTAAGTGAGACAAAGGCTCCCCATCCATGCTTCTAAGAAGCACTCTGACTGTGCTTTCTGCAAAACACGTTGGCTTGCTCCTTTGGTCGTCCATGCACGTGAGGTGATGGAACAAACCAGGACTAGTGTCAAATGCACTTAGAACTTAGTCACACCATTTCCCTTTGCTATTTTAAAGAGGTAATGAATCATTACGTCTTTAAAACATGGATCCATATATAAATAAAAACATAATAAAACATATACATGAGGTAATATATGGCAATATATTGTGCAATATTCTATCTTATTATTTGAAATATTTCCTTGTTTACCAAAATTGAGCATCTTTTCTTATGTTTGTTTGTAATTTTCCCAAGTGTACATGCTTTGTTCAATTTTCTATTGCATTTCTAACTTCTATTGAATTTCAAATGTTACTTATAAATTCTTGATAACAAGTTGGCTATAAGTGCAGTATAAATTCGCATTCTTTTAATTCTATTATATTTATAGCATTTGTGACTGAACAAGAGTTGTTATATTTAAGGTAGTGAGTGGATCCATTTTTTCCTGTTATAATTTGTAATTTTATACTTTATTTTCTTACATAACCCCAAATTTGGACAGTATAATATAACATTTGGACAGTATAACTACAGTATAGTAGTTGTCTATGGTGAAAATGTATCATTTAAATTTTTATTTAGATTAATCTATTCATTTCTAACACAGGCATGAGATAGAGATCGATGTTTATTTCCTTTACAAATAGGAGATCAATTTTCTCGGCACCATTGTTTTCTACTCAGAAGCAATGCTACTTCTGTCAGGCAGCTCATGGCCACCTACGTGAGGGCTTGCGCTGCGTTCTCTACTTCACTCATCTGGGATTTTGATTTGTTTGTTTTTGTTTCTGCACAGACTTTAATAGAAATGTGCACATCTAGCAGGTGTACATAGAGATGGTTGAATTTGCACTTGCTCTGCGCTCCAGAATATTAGTAGATTCTCAGAATCCCTATTTACCTGTTCTACACCTTATCCAGAGGGAATTGTATAGCATATTTTGTCATGCATCTGAGCAGTCCTAATCAACAATATATTTGTAAGATTTACCCAGTCATTGCTTGTAGTTGTGGATATTTTTTCTGTTTTAAACTTTATTTTCTCTCTTAAATAAATGCAATTCTATATACCAGATACTGGGAGGGGGGCAGGGATTGTGGCTAACCCTCTCTCAACCATTAAAACATAGGCAAAACCAGGCCATAAAGTTGATTCTGTGTGATAGCTACTCTATAACATAAATTAATGGCTTATTATCCCATTCATTTCAAACATTCTCAATGTAAAATTTTTACAAAGAAAGACATTCTTCTCTATATCCTTGTGATAAATATCAAAACAAGGAATTAATTGTAGGTACACTATCATCTAATTCATAGGAAGTGTGTCATTGGATTGCTTACTGCAAGGTCAACAGTTCAAACCTACCAAGAGGTCCCTGGTAAAAAGATGAGGTTATCTAATCTGGTACAGATTTACAGCCTCAGACAACCCCATATAGGGTTACTATGAGTTGGAATTGACTAGATGGCAGAATGTTTTTAGATATATCACCTAATTCAGAAAATGTACTCAAATTGTCTTCATTACCCAAATATACTCACAAAGAAAAGATCCAAGCCAACATCACATGGTGCATTGGGTTGTAATGTCTTCCTCCATCTGGATAAACCTTCAAACCTAGACATCTTTGAAGGGCATGATTGTCTGTGAGGGAGGTGTGCCCTGACTCGGCGACATTTTGATGTGCTGGTATTGCACAATCAGTATAATTGGTTTCAATCATTAGGATCCATACTGTTTTCTCTGGATCATTTTCAGAGGTATGCACCACCCCTTTCTTCATTCTTTAAAATGAAAAGAAGCAAACACATACTGGCCATTTTGGCTACTTTCATTTCTTGGCAAATGCAGAAGTCAGAGAAGACGCATGCTCTATCAGGCTGCAATGGCCGAGATTATATGAACAGAGACTGCCACATGCATCCGTGTGGACTCAAACCTCCAACGTTTCTGTCATTTGCCTTGTTCTTTATCATCTTTGCTACCCAGGGACTCCTCTTGAAAGATACAGGCCAATTCTCTAGAAAAAAATGAAAATGAAAATTGCTATTTCTTCCTGATTCTGAAGCCTTCCTATAATGTAGTATTTAGTCTGAAGCAATCCATTCCTTAAAATCTCAGTTTAAGATTGACCAGAATGAAATGATGACCTTTGAATCATTAAGTCTTTGGCAATTACAATAAATCATCTTTCAGTAAACTTAATTAGTTAACTTTATGTTTTACTGAGAAATTTGTATGCACGCTAGTTCCAAATGTCTCTTCACATTCAAATTAGAGAAACCCAGTCTGTCTGTGTTCCTTGAATCTTGCAAAGAGAAACTCTAGTTCATGTATTTTCATTTATGTCATAGTTGTCAATGTGAATGTCACACGTGTGGAGAAAGGTGCGCTCCCACCAAACCTTGCTGTTACCAATGATATTCAGAGTAGAGATTCATTCACGTATGTACAGTCTACTTAAGTCAATTGTGTTTGGAATCCTTTTCTCAAGAAGATGTCTGTCTTTTCTCTGCTGTCTTTCAGGTGTCCCAGCTTTACTGTGGCCACACGGGGAAGCGGGGCTCCTCGCTGCCCCCTCACATTTTCTCCTGTGCGGAGCGAGCCTCCCACCAGCTCTTCCAGGAGCAGCGACCTCAGTGCGTCATCCTCAGGTAGACTCCACCCCACCTCCCTTCCGTCCTCGGTGCTCAGGTTTGCCCTCGGGGTTTCGCAGTCAAAATAGCCACATGCCTTGATAAGAGTTGTATGAACCCCCAATAAAATGATTTTTTAAAATGTCTCCACATGCCACATAGGTTGATGTTATTTACTTTCTTCGCTGCTTGAGGTTCAGTGTGTCTCACAGTGAGTACCTTTGACGGCTTACAAAAGGGATGCACCCTATTCTTAGAAATAGCCACAAGTGTCGTTCAATCGATAGAAATACATTGAACCTGAAATGCATTTCATTTTGAGGCATGAAGACATGGAACCAGAGTGTGTGTGTGTGTTTTCATTTAGATCCCCAAAAACAAATGAAAATCACCTAAAATCAATGACCAGCTGCTGCTCTTCCTCAGAGTTCAGTCCTGCACGATGTACAGTATTATGTACCGTGCCAATGCCTGCACTGTGGCTCTGCCTTTTGGTCTGTTGCCTTTGCTCAGATTTCACCAAAAAGCATGTCCCCAAGCTGTTTATTCTTTAAAATATGATGCAAATTTTCGCTTCATAACATTGGAGGATGCCTCCTCTACATTAAAAAAATTTAGTAGAGGGGTGGGTGAAGGGAGATGCCGGGCAGTGTAATATAAGATATAATAATAATTTATAAATTATTAAGGGTTCATGGGGGAGAAGGGAGGAGGAAGGGAAGGGGAAGGGGAAAAAAGGAAAATGAGCTGATTGCGGGAACCCAAGAGGAAAGCAAATTTTGGGAATGATGAGGGCAACAAATGTATAGGTGTGCTTTATACAATTGAGCTATGTATTGTGGTGAATTGTATGAGCCCAATAAATTGATTTTTAAAAAAGAATGACAATTAGAAAGTAAAAAAAAATTTAGTAGAAAAGGTAGATATGAAATGTTTTTATAGTAAATAATGATCCTTGATGGAGGCTTGAAGAAAGATTTAGGTATTGGATACAAGCCTGCTTCCGGTCCATATGTTGTGGATTATGCAGCCCCTCTTGAGGAGCAGACCTCTCCACATACCCTTGGCTTTCTCCTAGTTACGACCCATAGTCTTGGTTGAAAAGGGAAGATGCACATAGGGTAACACATACTTCCGGGCAAAGTAAAACATCTGGGAATCTGGAAAGAATACAGCAGATTTGGTTAAGCACTTTTCTACAGACTGACCCCTGGTGGTGTGCATTTTATGGTGGTTTATGCCCTGGCTGCTAACTGTAAGGTCAGCCAGGGTGAAAGATCTCCTCCCTGACAGGTGTACAGCCTCCGAAACTCTGCGGAGCAGTTCTCCTCTATCCTATGGAGAGGACGGTATGCTTGGAAAAGCAGGAAGGGATGGAAAAAGAGGAAGACCTCTGAAAGAGGGATTGACAGTGGCCGCATCGATGGGCTCAGACAAGAACAATTATGAGGGGGCACAGGACCCGGCAGTGTCTCGTTCTGTTGCACACACAGTTGCTGTGAGTCAGAGCCACCCCTATGGCACCTAGCAATGGCAACACAGGCTCCCTATGAGTCAGAGCAGACTCCATGGCAGTGGACTTTGATATACATTGATTTAATAAAACATTTATTGGAATGCCAGGCTACGAATTGCAAACTATACTTGTTTGTAAACTAGCCTGCACGTTGTTGTTTAAGCGGTTGTGTTCAGAAGTGCCCCAGGGAAGCGAGGGGCTGAAGAGCAGCTCCCCACCTATGACTGAAGCAAGCCACCCTCTTGTTAACTATTGTATCTAACGGGTCTCCTGGTCATACTTTAGAGGGGGAAAAATAAAAGAAAAACACTTGAAATGTTGCTTAAAAGGTGTTTTGAATTGGTGGGATTTGGAGCTACACATAATAGTGAAATGCTGACAGTCATGATGGATAATTATTAAGCCCTAGTGGCATAGTAGCTTATGAGCTAACCCCTTAGAAGCCCATGTGACAGAGTAGAAGCCCCAAGTCTGGTTTCTAGGGTATAATCTTATTTTCAGAAGCAGAGAGTCATATCTTCCTCCCTTGGAGAACTGATGGGTTTGATCCTTTAGTTAGCAGTGGGGCACTTACACAGTGTACTGCAAGTCCTCCTGTGACTGCGTACTAGAGAAGTGAAATTGTCTGGGGTCTCGTGATTACTGAATGGTGAATCTGGAATCTGGACCCAATAGTTGTTGATAACTGCCTTTAAGTTGTTTCCAACACATAGTGGCCTATGTACAACAGAAGAAAACACTTCCTGATCCTGTAGCATCCTCATAAATTGTTCTTGTGTGTGAGCCTATAGCTGCAGCCACTGTGTCAGTCCATTTAATTGAGGATCTTCCTCTTTTTCACTTCCCTCTATTTTACCAAGCACGACAATCCTTCTGCAAGGACTGGTCTGTCCTAAAACCAAAAGCCAAAGTATGTTAGATGAAATCTTGCCATTCTTGTCTCTCGGGAAGATTCTGGCTGTACAATTTCCAACACAAGTTTGTTCTTTTGGTAGTCCATGGTCCTTTCCATAGTCTTCACACACACACAGTTCAAATGCATCAAATTTTCTTTGGTCTTTCTTATTCAGTGCCCAACATTCACATGCATGTGAGGAAATGGAAATTATCACAGCTAAGGTCAGGAGCACCCTAGTCCTCAAAGTAATGTTCTTGCTTTTCAACACCTTAAAGAGGTCTTGTGCATCAGATTTACCAATGCCATGTGTCATTTGATCTCTTGACTGCTGCTTCCACGAGCATTGACCGAGGGTCCATGCAAGATGAAAGCCTTGACAGCTTCAGTCTTGTCTCCATCTATCATGATGCTACTTATTGGTCCAGTTGTACGGGTTTTTGTTTTCTTTACTTTGAGTTGTAATTCATACTGAAGGCTGCAATTCTGATTTTCATCAGTAAGTGCTTCAAGTCCTCCTGATTCTCAGCGAGCAAGGTTGTTCCATTGGCATACCTCAGGGTGTTCATTAAGCCTTACTCCAACCCCGATACAGAATTCTCTTTATAATCTCGCTTCGCTGATAGTTTACTCAGCATGCAGATTGAATAAATATGGTGAGAGTATACAATATATCTTGAAGTACAGTGCTATGACCCAGTAGTTAGAGGCTGGGTGATACTTAACTATTACACAGACTCTAGCCTTTGCTACTTACTTAAGGAGGCTACCAGGAGCCACATACTAAGTTTCCCCCAAAATGATTGCCACATGTCCATCTATTTGCCAACACTTTATTAATCCATTTAATGATGAATAGACTATTACTCCTCATGTGCTTTGAGAAGCACTGCTCCTTAGTGAGGGGCTGATGGGAGAGAAAGGAGTGTCCGGTAGACTCCCCTGAGAGATGGCCTAATAGAGCCATCGTAACAGCAACCAAGGCCCTGAAGTAAAGAAACCAGTTTACTTTTGCTTACCCCAACAACTTCATCATGCATTTGCTCATAGATATTTCTTCTAGTGGAAGGTATTATAAGGCAGAACTGATATTCCTTTGGCTGTGCCATAGATTAACTACTTATTCCGAGAAGGATGGGTGGGGATTCTTTCCATCAATTTCTGACTCCTGGTCTCCAAAGTTTGAGAACAAATCTGTTATGAAAGAAATTATTATTTCAATGCCTCTCTTTAAGCTTCCAGGACTATGTGTTTTTATGTAGCTCCTCCCCCTCCTTGATGGCTCTACGTGAGATGAATTATGTTCATTTCTTTTAACCTGGTTTAAAGAAGAATGCACATCATAGAATATATGAGTTAAAAATAAGTTGAAAAAATTTAAAAATCGGATCCTTGTGTAGGATCTGGTGCGTGTCACTCATACACTCATTCAACTACTCGCGTCAGACAATAGTATGGAAGGCACTCAAACGGCTCCAAACCTTACGCCCATTTTAAAGATGAGAGAAAGGAAGGCAGAGGCAAATTTAACAACTGTCCTTAGCTCAGGGCCACATACCTGTAAACGCATGCACGTTCACTGATAATACCTTCACGTATTGGTCGTCTCACTCAACTTACGTACTTTCCGGGAGCTGAGGACAAGTTGGCGCCCTTTCCTCGGTCCATCGTCATTCTGCCACGATTCACTTGTATTATGTGATTTTACACGATAAGACATTTCATGGCAGAAAGCGTGTCACATCCGTTTGTTGTCCCAGCTTCTAAAACACTGACTGACACAGGATGATGGTCTGTTTACTGAAAATCTTTCTCTTAGGTGAAGCAGGTCTGACAGTTGAGGTTGCCCCATCAGCTCACTAATAATTCTGATGTCGTTCCTCCATTCTCTCTGTGTCTGCGAGTTATCTCTGGTGCTTGTCTGTTTTTATTACTTTCTCCAAACCAGTAAGCTGGCGTTTTTCATCTGTTTCCTTAGTGGTGAACGAGGATCGGGAAAGTCTGAAGCCAGCAAACAAATAATGACACATCTAACCTGCAGATCTGGATCCAGCAGAGGACTCTTGGAATCCAAGTTTAAACACGTAAGTTTTTGGTTTGGGATGACAAGTACGCTGGTGCACACAGTGACCAACAGCATCCACCACAACAAGCCATGGGTCAAACGGAGAAGAGGAGAGTCTCACCCTTTCGCTGGCACTGAGTCAACACGGACTTAGAGTGACCGCCTGGAGATCTCGGAGATTGTCATTGATTAGAGGAGTAGACAGTCTAGTCGTTCTCCTGCGCCGCTGCTGGTGGCTTTGAACTGCTGATCATTCGGATTCCTGTCCAACGCATACTCACTATGGCTGTATAGAGTAGTCACTACAAATTTTGATTTAACAAATTATGGAGGCCTGAGGCAAATTAATATTGTTTAATGCACTTTCATATATTTGAGATTATTTTGACATAGTCTCTTTTTATATGTACCCTGAAAAGTTGGATCATAAAGATGTAATAGAGTTAGAAAGTGTTATTCATACAGACTAATGCCTTATTTGGGGGCACTTGAGGTCCCAAACCAATTATTTTGGTGGTTTATTGACAGTTGATAATTCACTGTAGTGCATTTAATGTCCTTTTAATCTTTAAAAATATCGATGGACAGGAAATAAAATGATCAGTCCCCAGATTGAATTTAAATTATGTTGTATAGCAGTTAGTACTTTTGCTGCTGCTTAATTTCCCTAAAATAAAATATGAATTCAAGGAAGAAGCAAAAATGCCTATTAATAATTGGACAATGTCTAAGCATCTCACATAATAAAACTCACAAGATACCCATAGGTGTTTGTCTATAGAATGATAGTCGCTTTTTCACAATTTCAGGAGGTCTTATCAACAGGTTTCTTAGCCACAGTTGATTAGAAGTGATGAACTTCCTGCGATTGAACAATACATTTCACCCACCGTAGAGGGACATACAAGTACAACAGACAAACAAAATTTATCACAACTCAACTCTTATTCTGGGGACTTATAGGTCTAATCCCCCACATTTCAATGTTTCCCGGGACATCACTGTAGCATGATGAAAATCCATGGTGATTGACACAAGTTTTGTATGAAATGGGATGCTATAAATACCCCTGCTAGGTGAGAGGTCCAACGCTCTGCCCTTATTTAGGCCAGCTGGCCTCATGGCTTCTGTGAATGGTTCTCAATCCTCTCTTTCTTACCACACTGACCTGCCCATCCAACGGCCGACCTGGACATCTCTCAATGTTCTTGCTTCAACAAACCTACCCAAGTTTGCTTCTTTATCTCCCTTCTTTGCAATGCCCTCCTTCCATGTTCCAAACCAAACAAACTAAACGTGTTGCCATTGAGTAGATTTGAACACATAGCAACAGGCTGAGAGCCCAGAGTCAAACTCCCCAGAGAGTGTCCAGACTGGGTTTTTTTCAGAAATGCGCCGCCACACACTTCACCCACAGCCCGCTGGGTCCCTCCTCCAATCTTTCTGTTGGAGTTAGCAGCTCTTCAACCACAGACGCAGCTGGAATCCTTCCCCCCCATTACTCTGTAGGAGAAACGCTGTTCTCATTGCTTCATTCCCACAAACCTGCAACCAGGAAATGACTCTGACTCCAGACTTCCCTCCTGTCTCCCTCACAATCACAGTATCCTGTCTGTCCATCCAATTCCCCTCAGGCACACGCTCACCACGACCGTGTGTTATCGCTGTATCTTGCAGCATCCCCTCATATGTTTCCTCTCTCTCTCCATCCACTCTTGACTCTCTTTTAACACCTGGGCTTCGGGCAGTCTCGGTTGGCAGCTCTGCTCCATGGGTCCTTCAGGGCCTGCTCTGTGGTTAGGTAGATTTAGAGCCTGGCCCTCCCATGTGTGCCTTGCTGGCTTCTGCAGTGATATGTACAAGAAAAGAAAGTACTTGTCCAGGCAAAAGACCTAATCTTGTAAAGCGAATATATCCAATAAAGTGTACACATCTCTTCTACTAACAATGATAGGGTGGGAGTTAGTCATATATCTGAGGGGGCTGGGAATTATGATCTCTAACTTGAAATCCATGTGTTCGTTTACCATTAAAGGGAGCAATTATTTTTGAAGGGGTATTAGCAACATGCATCATAACTCCCCTGTTTAAATCTCTGTATGACTCACTGTTCCCTTTGGCTCAAGTTTGAATTCCTCAGCGTGACCCAACATTCCCTCATAGTGTTAGCTTTTTCTTTTGCCTTATAGAATTAGTCGGCCTCCTTTATTATTAGAATTAGTTCCCTTCCCTTATTCAACCCCTTTAGTTCTCTCTAGCGTTTGCTTGAAAAAGAGACACTGCTTCTTGGTCCCTGGGACATGCTAGAAAATCAGTTCCTATGAATGGATAGGTCAAAAAGCATTTAAAAGTATTTAGCACAGCCAGGAATTTAATTATACAAACACTGTCATTTTCTTTTAGATATTTCAGTTGCTTTTAGTTAGATAGTGGGAACTCTCCCAGTTGGTTATGCTTTTTTTAAAAAAAAAATTTGCTTGATTGATTGAATGATTTCCTGGGCATAGATAAGGCACATTTACCAAAAATGTAATTATTGTCTGCTCAGGCCAAGAAACAACTTCATCTCTAAAATTATTGCTTGCTCATAGCACACACCAGAATACAAGTTTTACTAAAAAGCAATCAACATGGTGTATATAATAGTCAAGAAAATGATGTGTATGCATACTGTTATCATTTTTTGACATATATGAGAGTATATGAGAGTTTATTACTATAAACCAACCTTACTATAAAATCATAGAAACCATTATGAAACAAAAATGTCAGCATATGAAATCATTGTTCCTTAGCATATTCTCCATCTAGGCCTACGAGGGGCTACCTCCCAAAAAAATGATGCTCTTTTATGTGAGGGGGGATTGTGCAATTTAGGTTCATCCCACCAGAGCAGACTGTTCATCAAGTTTTCTATTCAGAGATCCTGAAAAGATTGCATAGCAGTGTGTGGCAATAGAGGCCTGACTTGTGGCAGATGGGGGACTGGTTTTGCCACCACAACAATGCACCAGCTCATGCAGCCATCTCAGTGTGCCAGTTTTTGGCAAAAAAACAACTGCCTCTCTTGCCCCTCGCACCTAATTCACCTGACCTCACTCTGTGAAACGTCTTGTTGTTTCTGCGAATGAAGAAGGACATGAAAGGACAGGGATGTGACAGCATAGAAGAGGCGAAGAAAACATGAGGGAGGTGCTGTCTGCGATCGAAAGAGATGAGTTTGAAAAATGTTTCCAAGAATGGAACCACAGATTTGACAAATGAATTACGTGTAATGGAGCATACTTTGAGCGTGAGAGGGTTATTTTGTAAAAAAATTAAATACATAGCTTTTTGGGGGGGATCCGATTGGGGTGGGGGGGTTCCCCCTCATGTAGACTTTCTGAGGCTGTGATTTCATCGCTTGAGCTCCCCCTGGAAGAATCCGTGCTCTCTGATTCACACCCTGTCCGGACAGCATGCTGAAGGGATTCAGCTTGTGTTCCTGTGAAATGTGTTGTGAATTCTTGGAAGAAAGGAAGTGTGAAGGGCCAAGAGCAGGACTGCAGGGGAGATGGTGGGTGTACGGTCCCACAAACAAGTCTCATTGGCCCGTCCTCACTCCCGCTGACAAAGGAGGAGGCACATAAAACACATTGGGGAAAAACCAAAGCCCCGGACTCTTTGGTACACCTTTCCTGATCTTTTCCGCAGGGATGCACTTTTCAAGCTTCAAAACTCCCTCATTATCGGTTCCTATGATTTTCTTGTGGCCTTCTAGGACATCGGGCAAGATGCCTCCCTTCTCATTGTCATTATGGTTGTTGGGTGCCATGCAGATTACTCTGACGCCTCGCAACCTTGTTCACAACAGAATGCAGCATGGCCCAGCCTGGCTTTCCTCCATCTTCGCAATTGTTATGTTTGAGCCCACTGTTAAGCCACTGCCTCAATGCATTTTGTGGAAGGTCTTCCTTTTTATCCCTGACACTCTACTCTGGAAACCATGATGTCCATCTCCAGGGACTGGTCTTTCTGAAAGTATGTCCAAAAATAACCTTACATGTAGGAAGCATTTGGTTGTACTTCCTTAGAGGCAGATTGCTTTGTTTCCCTAGAAGTGCATGGTATATTCAATTTTCTTATCCACCACCATCACCCAAATGCATTAATACTTCTATAGTATTACTTATTCATGATCCAAGTTTCAAATGCACATGTGGATATTGAAAATGATTTAGCTGATTTCGTGTGTACCCTAGTCCTCAAAGTGGCATCTTTGCTTCTTAACACTCTCTAAAGAGGTATTGTACAGCTGATTTGGCTAATGCAGTACATCCTTCTGCTTCCATAGTTATTGGTAATAGATTCAAGTAAAATGAAAGCCTCGACAACTCCCTTCTTTTCTTCATTTATCATGATGTTGCTTATTGGTCCAGTTGTGAGAATTTTTAATTCCTTTACATTGAGTTGTAATCCATGCCATAGGCTGTATTCTTTGATCTTCATGAATAAATGTTTCAAGTATTCTTCACTTTTAACAAGCGAGATTGTTCATTTGCATATTGCAGGATGCAATGAGTATTCCTCCAATCTGATGTTATATTCTTCATATCTTCCAGCTTCTTAGATTATTTGTTCAGCATACACATTGAATATGTTTGGTGAAATGATACAACTCTGATGCACACCTTCCCTAGTTGTAAACTATGCAGCATTCCTTTATTCTGTTTGAACAAATGATTCTTGGTCTTGTATAGACTCAATTCAGTGTTCTGCCATTCCCATTTTTTAAGTCATTTTATTAGGGGCTCATACAACTCATCACAATCCATACATACATCGATTGTATAAAGCACATTTGTACATTTGTACATTTGTTACCCTCATTGTTCTTTTCTTAAAAAGATTATTTTATTGAGGGCTCGTACAATTCTTATCACAGTCCATACATACATCCATTGAGTCAAGCACATATGTACACCTGTTGCCCTCATCAATCTCAAAACATTTGCCCTCTACTTTAGCCCTCAATATAAT